GGGGGACAGCTCGAACAAGGGGGGGGGGACAGCTCGAACAAGGGGGGGGGGAACAGCTCGAAAAATATTAACCCCAGAAATCATTTAATTGTCAGGAGAGATTGGCAATTAAGGTTTTTTTCTGGAACGCGGAGGAATGTTGGCCAAACAGGAACCAGATATTAAACTAGAACTCCGGCCCAAAATATCGAGGGATAAAAAGGTTTTTCTACAATATTCAATTCAAGGTCAGAGATTTCCCCCGCCGTACTTATTCTTCTGCCGCTAGATGTCCTTAGTCTGACGGCCCGGCATCATTCAATCCGATTCCTCAGAGCCCAGGTCGTCCTGGCCTATATACTTTTATGGGGCTCTACTGCGCAGGGGTGGGCAGAAGGGAGAGGACTTCAGTGCTGGATGTAAACAAATGCGGCAGTCCCAGGGTGCTGGAACATGACAAGTAGGGATGCACCGATAACGGTATTTCGGCACCGATAGCGGTCATTTTTTTTTTCCTGCTACTTGCCGATATCGAATGTCCCATTCAGGAAGCCGTCACTATGCGACGAGAAAGCAGGGAGCCGGCCAATCATGGAAGCCCGGCGCCGTCTAATGACCCCGGCTTTCTGATTGGCCCAGGAAGCCAGCTCCATGTTTCCTCGTCATGAGGTGACGAGGGAGCATGAAGCCGGCTTCACGGCCAATCGGAAAGCCTGGCGCTGCGTCATTACACGCTGCCCGGCTTCCTGATACAGCGAGTATCGGGCTAGGCATCGGAGCATTTGGGCGGGTACGAGTCCTCGGCCAAATACTCGGTATCGGTTCATCCCTAAATGGCAAGTATACCTCTCGTGGGGGAAGGCGGGCTCTTTCACCGGAACACCCTCCGACTTTCGGAGGAGAGAAAGTGTAGATCAGGCTACACCAGGGGTAGCAAACCTCCGGCCCTCCAGCTGTGGTGAAACTACAAATCCCATGATGCATCTCTCTTTGGCAGTCATGCCTGTGGCTGAGAATCTTGCAATGCCTCGTGGGATTTGAAGTTCCACCACAGCTGGAGGGCAGGAGGTTTGCTACCCCTGGGCTACAAGGATTCCACAAAGTCGCCAAGGCATCCACCGCAAAGGCTCTGGGTTTCCTGGTCATTGTTCTCATGAGAAAGTATCGGCACTGGTGCCAGAAACGTATCGGTGCATCCCTAACCACAAGGAAAGACCAGCTTAGGACAGGCAAAGTTTGTGTCCCATCATGTCTTAGGGGGGATTTTTGTAGTCCGCTCGCTGTGTTACTTTCATGGACGATTTTTCAATCAAATATTTTATTTAGAAAAAATAAAGCGCACAAAAATTTAAACAGTGACACATTTATTTTAAAAAGCGTTTCATACCAAGCCAAAAATGACAACAGCGTACGTTTACAAGAGAAAATTAGAAGTTGCATTTATTTATAATTATTTTCTACTAGTAAAAAAGAAAAAAAAACAAAGTAACGCGGTTCACAATTCTCTTGTGTTTCCAAGTCCGAAAAAAAAAAAATGCTTCTGACTTAACCAATATGCAAGCCATGGCTGTTACACTTCGCTTGCTTTTGTTTAAATTAAATTTTCTTGCGCCCTGACATCTGGCCGATAACATGTCGTCAGGGACTGCACTGAACCGACTCTAAAAAGAATTACTTCAGTTCTCAAATTTTATAGTTTAGAACCAACTCTAACTGAGTTTTATCATTTTACAGGTTCTGTCACCTCATTTTAAAGCCCATCTTCGATTAAGACATCTTGTGAGGGTCGCCTTGATCTTCGGAAACGCACAGTCCTAGCGGGTAAAATACGAAGAAAAATAAAAACAAAAAGAGCAAAATTAATCGTTGTTCCGGGACATGAGGTCTTACGTCTAATCAAAGAAAACCGATTCATCTGACTCTAGGACTCCTCCCCCCATTCTCTAGAACTTTCATGCAACAAAAAGGATCTAATTATTAAAAAGGGATCCGCGGGAGAAAAATGAAAAATGATAATTGATCCCGGATCTCGGCTTTTTCCCGTCAACGTCCGTACGCCGGACTGCAACGTAAAAACTGCCCGAGACAATTCCTCCTACATGGTAGGAAAAATTTAAAGACATACCTCTGTAAAAGCTTGCACTGAATGTAACAAGTCGATTACTAGCGAGCATAGACAGATTTGGCATTTATTATCTTTTAAAAGAAATTTTGTTTTACTGACTGGGCATCATTGCATCCCTAGACACAGTCAAAAAAAAGAAAAAAAAAATCGCCAAAACTGTTACATAAAATTAAGGAAAAAAATAAAAAATAAATAAAATTAAAAAAATGGAACCGCTTGTGGCTTTGCTTTGTAGACAAAGACAGAAATTTTAAACAAATACACAAAAAAATAATCTTATGCTATCACAGGTAACATCATTCAAACATGGATTTTGGAAGAAAGGAGTACCTTGCAAGAATACCTGATTAGTATGACTGAATCCTTGATTTTTAATTTGGCATTTTCAGGGGCCCGCTTACAACACCAACGCTGCATGAGGTATGGCAGACAGCTTGAAATTATTCATAAACCCTACACTTCGAACAATCCAATTCTACAGGCTCTCGAGTTACAGAACAAACTGCATTAGAATGCGAGGCAGTAAAGGCAAAACCACTCCACAAAAAAAAAAAAACAATCTTTTCACAAATTTTAAAAAAGAAAAACAACATTTTCTTTTCTTTCATTCTTTTTTTTCTTCTTCTTATAAACAGTAAAATGAAGACTGGACTGAAAAGTGCCTTTAAAAAAAATAATTTATTAAAACAACGCGCCTCTTATCATTAAACGTTACTGCCGATGAAATCGAAATGGCCCTTTAATTACCAGCTTATAAAATTATGATCTGCGTGTTATGACAGGAAATCTTTTTTTTTTTTATCAAGCAATTGAAAAGGAGAAAACAAAATAAAAAGCTAAAACATTTTCTGATCGGAAATAAGTTTTAAGATTATAGATTCTGGGATGGCTTATGTGACAAAGAGGACGCGTTATAGGTGGCAGAGAGGGAGGGGAGAGATTTGGATGGGCGCGGGGGG